ATATATATATATAGACACATAATAAATCTTATTGCAACATCAGAACAAGGGTGAAGATGATAGGTAACAGTGTGTATAGGTATGAGGTGGCCCAGGGTGGCAGCTGAACTGGCCTGTACACCTACCATACAAATAACGTTCACGTACCCTAGTATACCTAACGAGATATATAATGTATACAATATTTAAAGGATCAAACCCCTCGGGAAATTTTTTTTTTTAATTCGTTCCTGATCATTTCTAGCTAGGTCCCGATTTTTATCTATAATAATTAACGATTTTTCCTTATGTTCGGACCCGGTAATACGAAAGTTCGTTAGTGCGACCCCCCGAGAAATGATCTTTGATTTTTTTTTTGTTATTGATCATTTTTTAATTTTATTTTTCAAGATTTTTTTGTTTGTTTTTTTTTAAAGTTTCATATCAAACCCCGTATAAATTCATTCCCCTTTTATTATCCCCGTTAAGTAAGGTGCCAAGGCCTTCGTCTTCTACGATTTCTAGGGCAACGGCCTCCTCGATCGCCCCCCATTGGCGCTGGTGGCAATGTGGCAATCGCCCTAATTTTGTCGGCGCCCTGTTGGTCAGTGTATAGCCTTAAAAACCTTGCAATATTGCATCCCTCGTCAGTTGTCGTTTAATTAATGACGCGTTGTCTCCTGTTGCAAGGAATGCAATTATAGTCTCAACAGTCGCCTTCCCGGCGTCGTCGTAGGGGATGACTAATATTTTAAAGCATTACCGCTTGTACTCCTCTAATTCTTCGTCTATGCCGTCTTCATTTCCAGCCACCTCTTCGGTAACTTCCATCTGCTCCTCCTCTGCGGCAACTTCCATTTGTGCCTCCTCTGCTGCAATCTCCGGTTCGGCACCTTGCTCCGCAACGCTGTCCTCCTCGACGGATCAATCCTGTATATATATAACGTATAATAACGAGAAGGGAAACACCGCTGGACCAATACCTATACCCACACTTTTATACATAGCTCGGGAAAATAATGGGATTCCCATCATGAAGTCGATTTCCCCGGGGAGAGCTGCAGGACTGGACACAACACACCATTTTACCCGCGTCCTCGCACGAATTACGCGATGTCCAGGACACAGTTTTTCCTACCGCTCTTTTGCGCCCTATGAATGTGTTCGGTATACATGTATATACATTCGTACACCGTGCCCGGGCCGCGTCCATCAAGAGCATCGCCGAAGCTATTGTGTGATAATAAAGCTGCTCAGCGAACTAACTCATAACTTATATATTTTTAACTTATTATTCTAGTCCGACGATCGTCTTTCTTACGATTAGTTGCGGCTGGTTTATAATCGATTACATGGCTCTACTGTAAATAATGTGAAAATTCATAATTTTATGCTAAGGATTTGTGTTTATTTGGATAATAAAGAAAATTTGTTAATCAAACATAGAGCTTTATTTGTTTTACATTTAACAAATAATTGATGATAATTATACAAGCAGCAAGTTGTTTTATATAAAAAATTCATTTTGATTAATCCTGAAAAATGTTGTAATGGTCCATGTTGGATTGAAAAACTTTGAGTTGCTGAAATCTGTAATATTTTTTTTCTTATGTACATATTACATCACATATTCATGTTGTAAGTTTTTAATATTACAATAATTTGACAACGCACAAGTTAAAAGTCTCAACTAGCATCGTAAATAGTAGAATATATACGTGAATTAATCAGTCTAAAAGAGACAGCTAAAAAAAAAAAGCCTAAAAAAAAAGGACAGTCACACAAAGAGTCTCCTAAGAATATAGCATTGGATCTCACTAAATAAAAGATACATTTACTACAGAGAAGTAAATTTTAAGTGTTATAAATAAACAAAGAATCCGACCTTCTCTGATTAAGTGAGATCCAATGCTCCATTTTTAGGAGACTCTTCCTGTGTGACTGAACTTCTTTTTTAATCCTTTTTTCTTCAGTTGTCTCTTTCCGACTGATTACTTTACGTATCTATTTAATCATTGTTCAAAATTTCTGTAACACAAATCTTGTTATGTACGTATTATATAAGTTAACTGTTTATTGGAAATCTAAAGTTGAAGGACTGTTCTTTCATTAGTTAATGATAAAAGGTCAAGAGTATTGTAACTTTGTAAATATTGTCGATTTTATAAGCCGTATAAGATAAGTTGAATATTTATTTACTTGTAGAGGTCGATTTTTGGATGAAAGATAGATTGTAAACTTGCCGCAAGTAGCATAAAAAATGTCAACTATTTATTGTCTATTTATAAAGTTATTTGCGGCTGGTTTATAATTAATAAAGTGACTTTACTGGAAATAGCAATAATTATTTGGATCAGCGCCATCTAGCGGTCTTAATTTTTTGGCCAAAGGTGGCTCCTAAAATTCTCAATCAGAGCAATCAGGATTAGAGCCATTTAATCAATTATAAACCAGCCGCAACGTATGATGAAGCTATAAAATAAAAAATTATTGACATATGTGTTTTTGGCGGCAAGTTAACAATTTATTTTCTACCAAAAATTGACCTCCTATGTATTTATACTTTTGATAATTAATTTTCGAGCAAAAAATAGATTGTTAAGTTGCCGCCAAAAACATATGTATCGTTATTTTTTTATTTTATAGCTTCATCATAAGTTGCGGCTGGTTTATAATTGACTAAATGGCTTTAATTCTGATTGCTCTGATTGAGAATTTTAGGAGCCACTTATGACCAAAAAATTAAGACCACTAGATGGCGCTGATCCAAATAATTATTGCTATTTACAGTAAAGTTACCTTATTAATTATAAACCAGCCGCAATTGATTATATGGATGAACAATAAAAAATTGTCATTGTTTGTGCTGTTTGCGGCAAGTTTACAATATATTTTTTACCTAAAAATCAACCTCCAAAAGTATAAGTATACTTATAGGGGGTCGATTTTCATGTAAAAGTGTAGCTTACAAAAAGGGTTGAAAATAATTATTTGAGCTTTGCAAAACGTTTAGTTTATTCAAGAAAACTTAATGAAAAAGAGACACGTCTTAACCCTTTAATAGCTGAAAGGGTTCTGCCGAAAAAATTGGGCAAACAACGCGTTGCTATGACAAGACGAGCATGACAACCCAAAAAACAAAAGAGAAAGGAAAATTCCGCATATTCGCTCCAAAATGGCTATACACCCATGTTCGAAACAGTAATCGAACACTGCGTAGCTCCCTTTATCTTCCTAAGAAGACAGGGGAAGAAAAACGGCCCCGGAGATAGCACTATCAACTAGTAACTACCCCCGTGCTTCGTACCTGTGACCGAGAAACCCTCAGTGTTCCTCGGTCGATTGGAACGTATACACAGAAATGATTAAGATAAATAAAAAGGTAAAACTTAAAACGAACTGTCAAAAATATTAAAAGACAAAAATATATAGTAACAAAAAGATAAATTGTACTAACTTTAAAAGCTTCCATTTTTTTTTTTTTTTTTCTAATCGAACGAGAAACGTGAGTTTCAAATTATAGCAGATTCCGTATTAAATCAATTACCAACATTCACTAATTGCTAGAGACTATACAGAGTGTGCTACTAATGGTAAGGTAGAGACTTATTTATCCTACACTCAAAAACTTCCAAATGTATGTGCACATATAAGTGTGTACAGCCTCTGCCGCTATAGACACTTCGGGTCTTCGGCAGAGTATATTCGTGACACTCTTTCTGCTATTTTATCTAAATAATAATAACTTTTTTTAAAGCAAATTGTAGCTAACGTAATTAATAATGATAATGAGTAATAAGAGTTTAATTTGTTAATCACGAAAGGATTCTGAACTAATTTGTGTACTCTACAAGAAAAAATTTGCTGTACACGCGCTATCAGTATTTTTTAATAAACCAGGTACTGAAATACAGTTTAGTACAGTTGATGACATGCTTTTCTTTTTCAAGAAAAAAAAATAAAAATTTATTATCATGTTTCAGAAGAATGACAACTCTCTTTAAAGCACGTACAGGATTACAAGTTCTGAAAAACTTTCTTCAACCAAAGTAGGTCAATTTGTTTTGCTGAACATTACTATTGATTAAAGTAAGTATTTCAAATCATTTATTAATTTCATTGCAGACCAGAAGTGATTACCATACCTGATCGAGAAAGCCACAAAAGACGTCAAACTGCGAAAAAAAGGTTTCCACCATGGTTCATTAAGCAGACCAGAGCGGTAAGTGTCTGACTAGTTAACAGTAGATTTGAAAACAATCAACCAGGCAGTTTTATCAAATTTGTAAAATATATCACAGCTTGGTGACGATGAGCTGACCAAAGAAAACAAAGAATTTGTTAAACAAGTAATAAAAGACAGATACCCTCATCCAGATGTTTATGGATCACCTTCTCCACTAAAGTTACACACGATCGAGCCAAATATTGAATGGAAACCAAATTACCAACGTACAGGTTTGATTGCCCAAAAAATTGGTATCTATCCAATGTGGGACAAAGACGGCAATAAATTTCTTACAACCTTGTTTCACGTAAGTACATCAATTTAATAAAATACTCTTTCATTAATTAACAATGATATATTTTCCTGTTATTTTCAGGTTTATGACAATCATGTTATAAAATACATACCTCCAGAAGAAGCTAATCCTATGATAACTAATAAAAAAAATACCAAACCTTTTACTAAAGGCAGCCTTATAGTGGGTGCTATTGGAGCAGATCCTCAATTGGTAACAAAAATGTTTTGTAACTTAATCACACGTGACTCATTTAATTTGTACATTACGTTATTCATTCTAGTTTACAAAACAATATTGTGGAATGTTCAATGAATCTGGGGTTCTACCAAAAAAAATGATATCTAGATTTATTATATCACCAGAAGCTGCGCTACAGCCCGGTACACCCTTATTTGCTTCACATTTTCAAGTTGGTCAATATGTGGATATCATAGGGAAGACGTAAGCTTTATTTATAATTTAAATATTATACCTCTTGTTAAATAATAGTCATACGATCATGGTGTTCTTTGTTTCAGAATCGGTCGAGGGTTTCAAGGTGTTATGAAGAGATGGGGTTTTCATGGTATGCCCGCGTCTCACGGTGTCACAAAGACGCACAGAAGACCAGGTAACATTGGTTCAGGAGGTACCAAAGCGCGTGTTATGCCAGGAACAAAAATGCCTGGAATGATGGGGAATAATTATCGCTATTTGAGAGCGCAGGAAGTATGTGACTTTTCATATTTTAGAAATTTCAAAGTACTTCAAATTGTTGATTTATTAATACAACTATCAATTATTGTTATAGATAGTTCGAATAAATACTAAATACAATATCATTTGGGTCCGTGGACAAGCCTCAGCTGGCGAGACGAATAGTTTGGTCAAAATTTTTGACACCCTGGTACCACTTAAAAGTTCAAGGGTATTAAAAAAACCTCCACATTTCCCAACTTATTTCCCCGACCCTGATAATGATCCATTACCAGAAGAAATGTGTGGAGAAAATATTCATCAATTTAATGATCCAACCATTATGTACAAAGAAGATTAATGAATCTATTTAGAGTTTATTGTATACATACTGTCAAGTACTTTAATAAAGTTTTGTTACAAAAAAATGTTTCATGTAGTCCGTTACATTTTTAAAATTATTAAATGAATAAAAAAAAAAAATACGCTTTAATTTAATTCGTCAATGTATTTGAAGAAAAACTATACATTGTTAATTTCAAATAGAATAAGAAACTTGATCTTTACAGCTACGGCATCTAATGTACGCTACATTTTTATTTTTGCCGTCTTACAGAACGCTCGCAGTTATTACTTACACTAAAGAAGAGTAATGTTTTTTCTTAGAAATCACACTATTATAAATTTTACATGCCTAAAATATATATAAATTGAATAGTAAGTGTTGCGTTGATTGATTGAAGACACGATGTCCCTAGCTAGCTGAATAAAAAACAAATTAATGATTTCATTAAAAAAAATAGCTACGTGCTATTTTTGTCTTTATTTCTGTTCAGACGGAAAACGACACAAAAAATTCTATAATAATCACGCGTATTCTGCTGCATGTACAAACAGTGATCAACTTTCTTGATGAAATAAAGCCCGGACAAAAGAATTAAATCCATAAATTTCTGAATAGCTAACTCAGCATCTTGATTAGACTTGTTGTAGTAATGTATCGTAGAAGAATAAAGAGTATAAGAATGCAGTCAATTTGTGGGAGTCATCGTTGACTTAATTCTCGGTTTTTCCGGCTTCAGTTCTGTTTGTCAAAATTTGAGCGGCCTTTTTTTTATAATTAATTTCATGTTTCATGTTCAAGGCCATCGCAAAGACCGCTTTCAATTACATTATTTCGTCTTCAATGCACCCACGATCCTTGTGTACGTGTATGTCAAAGAAACACATGTACAAATACATGCAAATGTTTGTAGGTATGTCTTTGGGCCCGTCATGTTTTTTTTTTTTTTTTTTTTTTTTTTTTTTTTTATTTTCATAAAATTTCTTGGTTGAGCTGATCAGCGCATCCTCACGTCTAAGCTGCTGCTGCACGTCGACTGGAGCAATAAAGAGATGTGGAAATAAGAGAGGATGAAGGAAAGCAGAATTGCTCCAGATTGGAGTTTATTTTTGGGGGACGGCACAATCGAGTGTGATGAGCCAAGGACTACTCAAAATTTGAAGCCTTCATGTGGAACAGACGTCGTCGAATCGAAGGCGAAGCCTGCTTCTACGATTGGTGGTGATATATTAACATCGTCAGTCTGTAATTAAAGACAGATACTGGTTAGTCATTGTTTTATATCTAAACTGTAAACTAACAGGTAGGTGAATATCAACTAACCTCGTCTGAAAAGTATTGCTCAATAATATCATAAGCTAATTTGTAAATGTCTGCATTTTCGTGAGTCTGCAATGCCTCGATCTTGTCAAGCCCGCCACACTCTTCAATCATGTTGGCCAAAAATTCCACTTGTGATCCAGCTAATTTCAGCATATTGTTGATGCCGTCCAATACTACTTGCACTACTTGGGTATCTTTACAAGCAAGTAAATTACAGAATGGAGGAACAACTCCCTGCTTAATAAGTTCCGCGACTTGGTCCTTGTTTCCGCTTATCGTTAGATTGCTGATCGCCCAAGCGGCCTCTTTTTGTGTTTGGAATTCTCCCTATAACAAAAATTACCAAAAAATTTTAACTCATTATCGTTTAAATTGTAGTTTAGTTTGAATTTTTTTTTTTTTTTTCGTACCTTTGCTAAATTGCTTATAATGAGCGGTAACAATTTTGCATCAATGACTTGCTGAACTTGCTGCTGGTTACCAGCTGTGATGTTTGAAAGGAACCACACGGCTTCCTTGCATATTTTTTCTTTTGGATGTGTGAGCAAGTTTTCAAAGTGAGACAGTGCTTCGCAATTAAGGACGACTTGTGTTTGCTCATCGGTGCCTGTAACGATATTACCGACCGCTCGGAGAGCAGCGGTTTGCACCTTGACTTCTTTGTGTGAAAGAAGAGGGACCAAACGGGGTACAACACCACTTTCGATAACCATTTCGATCTGATCGTTGCCACCATCTGTCAAGTAACTTAATGCCCATACTGTGTCTACAAGAATCTGCAAAAAAACCAATAATTAGCATTATCTTAATGTTACTTACTATGTTTTCAAAGTATAATGTACTATACAACGAGAAACGTACATTTATATCAGCGTGATGAATCAAAATATTGAGAGCAGGTAAAATTTCTTGAATTGTATGAACCGGTGGGGGCGGATCCTTGTTTCTGCACAAATTTACGATCACCCACGTTACATTTCGCAGAAACGTGAGAGGGATATCGGGCTTGATAAAGGATAACAATGGTTGAACAACACCAAGTTGTATCACATAGTCCCTGAGTGCTGGACCATCACCAATTATATTTCCTGCAAAAATTCATTTATATAAATAACTTTTTCTTTGAATCGTAGTAAAGAGCATTCTTTTGTTAGTATTCAAAATTGAAATTTACCTAGTGCCCAAACTGCCTGTTCACAAACGTTTTGTTGACTTGAAAGTAGCAATTGAAGGAAAAGTGGGACAGCACCTGCTTGGACAACAGCATTTGTCTGGGCAGATGTTCCGCTGGCAATGTTTGTGAGCGCCCAAGCTGCTTCAAACTGCAGAGATGGACTGTACCACAGGACAGTTTTTTGATCAGTAAGATGAAGTCACTTTGGTAAGATAATCGATTTATAATGAATAGATGAATGATAATTACTTGTTGTGCTGTTCTAAACACCTAACTAAAATTGGTAAAATGCCACTGTTAATCAGCAGATCAATAGGTGGATTTCGGTCCGATGAGAGTAATTTTCTAGCAGACTGTACAGCATTCAATTGTTCAAGAGAATCAGTACTGCCAGCTTTCATTACCAATTCTTGTAGATTAGTTTTTGCCAGTTGCTTATCAATATCATCTTCGTCTGGAAAGAATATGCATAATTAATCCAACATAAAATGCAAGAAAATATATATTTTGAAAATCACACGAACCAGTTGAATCGGTGATAGGAACATTCCTTTTTTTCTGCAGAGTTTCTTCTCTCTTATTTTTCCTCAATTCCACTGTCACTTCATTTCTTCTCCTTCTCATTTCCTAGAAAATGTACACATCCAAATTTAATTTAGTGCAATTATAATTTAAAAATTGTTTGCACAAAAGTTGAGTAGGTAAAGTACTTCTGGAGGCACATGTTTGTAATGGAGGTTAAAAGAGTATGTTGCAAAAATTATACATAGTACTCTGAATTGTTATGTACTTGAAACTGTACCATAATGATTGTATACAAGTAAAAAAAATTGATAAAAGAACGAATTTTTTTTTTTATTATGTATTGGAATAGTTTTTTTAGCCTCGTGACTGCTACTAAATGACTGAGGAGTATGTTAGCACCTGTAAGAAATATTGTGAAATTCGATGAACTACAACTTTCTCATGATTTGAAAAAAATTGATAATAATTATTTATGATAAATTACCACGATAATTGAGTGCAAAATAATTTTAAAGTCACTTAATGACAGTCAAAAGGTAGAATTAACCTTTGTATCTCAAGATACAAGTTTTGTCAAAGAAAGTGGAATATGATGTAGACATTGATGATGCTTTATGAAAGTAAAGATATTGATTGAAATCAAGCTGACCTTTTTTTAAGACCGAACATCTTTAACACCTTGGGTGTGGGAGCAAAATTAGCTACGTGGGCTGAAAATGAGTAGAAAATCTTGTTCAATAGAACTCTTTTAAACCATGTATTCATATCCACATTTTAAGCTCATTTGCTCATGACGATGTACACGCCATCCACACTCAAGGAGTTAATTCACTCAATCCAAAAAATCATAAAAAATTTTCAACATTAATCCAGTAGCATTCAGCTTTAATTCAGACCCATGTTTACCAACATTTGTCCTCTCTTTACGTTTAAATCAGTCTCACCATGAATCAGGGTAAAAATTAAGAAATACAGTAATTCTGAAATATGTAAATTTTTAAACAATATTGTTCCTCACACTTCCATTCTCAAGAGAGTCCATTCATTAATAACACATTACCAATGCTGTTTTTATCAGTATTTGAATTATTAGACTCTCAATTCCATTATTATCATTATAATCATTAGAACACAAGATACAACAGACTAAGTACAACTGCCAGGCAATCACTCAAGAACCTGCGCAATCAGTGATAGGTAAAAGTAAGTACGAGGTAATGCAACCAGTGTCGATGATTAGCATGTAATCTATCTGAATCATGTTATGTGTCGTGGACAGCATGGACTCGAGGATGACGTGGGTATAAGAAATACTGTGCACATGGGAGAAAGTGCAGAGAGCAAAGGAATTATAGTTGTAACGAAGAAGAGGTGCAAATGTATAAATTTAGGGCAGCAGATAAGTATTATAAAACGAAGGATGCACGCAACTCCGAACATCCGTGAGTGCTGAAGTTTCCCTCGCTCTCTTGCTCTTAAGCTCGTCTGCATCCATAAAGATATATACGTAAATAATATTATGGGTACAAGAAGAAAAAAAAAAAAAAAAAAAAAAAAAAGAAAAGAAAACACCAAGCGAGTGTTGAGCATTGCACGCACACCTGCAGCTCCCACGCTCGCAATATTTATTTCTTTCTCTCTTCCTCTCGCACATCCGAGTCAGCAGTCAACCATGCAGCCATCAGGACTTAGATCTAGCATCACATGTATACGCATAAAAAAAAATGAAAAACTTAATTGTAAAAGTATCATGTATACATATATAATTATATTAATATCGGCTGTTCAGAGCCGCTGCTGCCACATAAATGTTCCTGAAGGGGCTCAGGGCCATCATAATGTTGCATGGCTGTGGCACACTAGTCACTCGAATATCGGAGCATATAAAACGCGCGCTCGTCGCGCCTCTTCGACAACGGCCAAAAGCCAAGTAGGTACTTAACATGCCCAATAGGTACAAGACCCTCGCGATTCTTGCATCTTGCAATCATATCAACTTGAGCCAGTGCAGCAGAGCAACAGCAGCGGCTCTCAAATAACATGTATGTATAGGTTGTAACCTATACACCCCAGTAATAAACATGTCGTGCAAGCCGAACTCCGTGTATAAATCCACAATGGAACTATGATGCACGAGCCCCAATCTCAAGTGTGTATAGGTATCTCTAGGTGTTACTTATACACATGATAGATTGATATGTACGGGGAACAGCGAGCAAACGACACGATTACGGGCAGAGTAAAAGGGATAAGGGTGTATATTATGATGTACAGATACTCACATCCTGGTCTTTGCCTTTGTTCTTGAAGACCGAGATGCGGCTCTTGTTCGCCGCCTCGGTTGCCATCTTCGTGTTGGGCTCCATCAGCGTGACTACGGCAGGTGAGCGAGGCTAAGCTCACGGCTCTTGCAGGTAATGGGGGTGTGTAACTGTTGAATGAAAATGACTACGACGACCGTACGATAACGACGACGACGACGACGACGACGTGGTTGTTTCTTCTTGGGAAGACGATATCTTCTGTTGAGCACACGAGTCCACGAGAAAAAGAGCTAGCCCGATAAGCCCGATTTCGTCGACGTTTCAGCTCTCTCTAGTGATGACAATGTGCACTACCTATCGTGCAAACTGCAACTGAGAAAGAGAGCAAAAAGCACACCTAGTAGCAGCGTAGCTCTAGCTACACGACAACACGACTACTTATACTTTTACAACACAACACACTTTTATGATGTGGTGATTGCACACTGCACAGTGCACACACGAGCCAGTATACCTATATACTTCAAGTAATGTCCGTATTGTCTGTTGTATACCGTACAACTTGTACGAAACAACGAGATCTACATGCAAATATACCTAAATGGACAAGGATGGAGTCGATAGTCGATAGGCAGGAGACGTTCGGTAGAGATAGCGGGGGGGAACCACTTGCGGGGCAAGGGGAAAGTAGCGATGAGTGAAGAGTGTGAAGACTTGGCATCGCCGCACGGGTCTCCAATGTGTGAGTGTTCATGTACACACATATATACACACAGGTGGTGTGCGTGACTGCGTTGTCTGCGTTGTCTGCATTGTCTGCTGCGGTTACGGCAGCGTATGTGTATATTTGTAATGTATTTGTGCTTAAGATGTAAGTATTTGATTTTTATTCGTTATAACAATGTAATAAAAATGAGTAAATAATTAAAAAGACTTGTGACAGATATATGTACGTACAATTATGTTCGTAGCTAATGTAAATAAAATTCTTGAATTTTCATGTGACTTGAAAAGTCTCATTGAAAGTGATATGTTAAATAATTAGGACAGACTCTAGTCTCTGCGATTACTACAAGCATGTGATTTTGTTATCTTGTGTAAAAAAATTACAAATTAAAAATTTTATTTAGAAAAATAAAAATGTGTTATTATAATACATTGTTTTGTTTTGGGTACGGGTGGAACCACTGGAACCTATATGTACATACACTCACACACATTATATAAGCTTATGTTTTATACAGAAATACACAAATATATCTATACTACTTATAACATTCAAATGTTTACTGATTTACGTCCTGGAACATTTTGAATTTCCCGCTTCTTGCGACGTTGCCGTTGTGTTTTTGTCGAACTATTATTTAATTTTTTTATTCATAAATTAATCAGACGATCGTCGTGAAACTTTGTATACATATAGTTTATAACATTATCTGTAACATATACAAAAATTGTATACTTAAGTATTATAAGTAAGATTATACTTAAGTATAGGTCATGCTAAGTAAGTACTTATCGTCGTAGGGTTTGAAAATTATTAAAATCGGATGACATAAAGATGCTTGGAAGTGATGTGCAATAGTACGTAATATGCATATAATAAAATACACTGTTTTACGTGTGATTATTACGCATATATATCAATGGTCGAGTATTCGGTCATTTCTTGATCCATTGGTAAATTGCACGAAAGTAGATACTTGAATTAAAATCTTAAGAAAGAAAAATCATAAAGTATAGAAATAGTGGACAACTATATTTCTGGACAATTAGGAACGTTATTTTCATTTAATTGTAGAGTGCCTACAGCACAATCATTAAATTCAACGAAAAAAATCCTAATTATTAACTAAAGGGATTTTTCATTGGTTGATTGCGCTAGGTACGTGTCAGTTAGTGGATGTGCTTGAAAACGTATTCATCAGAATTTAATTCTATAATAATGAAAAGAAATGTCAAAATACATTTGTTTCTGATTTCTGAGTGAAACGTCCATTGGCTTATTTGTCCCACTCGTTATTTCTCAGTCATAGACGATAAATTAACATTTCCCTGGAAATATACATACTTTTCGAAATTTCATGTTTTCATGAAACTGGAGATAACAGAGCTTAATTAAGATTATCTTCGCAGAATGAAATCCAAATCGGTCGATTGAGTAAGCAACGAGGATTGTACTGTACGAATCCAAATATAAAACCCGATAGAGCGTAATTTTTCTACAAAAAATGAAAAAAGATAAACGTTAAAATTTTACTAAGTAATACATATTGTTTGAGCATCGATTGGTATTTCAGAATGTACCGATCGGGTGCGCGAAAAGATCTTAAAGCTTACCGATTCTGATTCGTCGATCAAATTCGCCTGTCAGCCAATCTGAATCATACAATGCGCGCAAATCCATTTAGTATTACTGTATACATGTGAATTGCTGGAAGAACAATAATTAAAATGCACAGAGTGTAAGTAAAAATGCGTGCAGGAATAAAAAAAGTCGGGCAAAACGAAACGCTCGGAGTGGGAGATATCGAAGAATATATATGGACTGGAAAGTTGATTATTGGTGAGAATTGTTAATTTAAAACGATCATTGGTGAGCATACTTACGCATTGTATACTATGTCGAAATCGATCCGTGACTTTGCATTATTCTAAAGAAATATTTGTTTTGTTTCTAGGATGTTTCAAAATTGCAAAAAAAAAAAAAAATACAGAGTTACTGGAAAATTTTGGTTTGTTATAACCATATATAAATACGTGTAACGATAAAAGATACAAAGTACGCGACTTGATTGGAAGTCGTAGTTATAATTTTTAAAGTTATGGCTTTGAGAGGAATTAAAGTTGTTGAGTTAGCTGGATTGGCTCCAGCTCCGTTTTGTGGTATGGTCTTGGCTGATTTTGGAGCATCTGTTATTAGAATTGACAGAGTGAGTTCATTATTTGTTAAACCATGTTTACTTTTAATTAAACACAATTCTTTGATGATTTCAGCCTGATGCAGCCAACTTAGATTCTCTTGGTCATGGAAAAAGATCGATTTCGTTGAATTTGAAGTCAGAAAAGGGGATAAATATCTTTAAAAAATTAAGTAATCAGTGTGATGTGTTGATTGATCCCTACAGAAAAGGTATACCCAACATTAATCGAAGCTCATTGGAATGTAGCCTTCAATTGGCGATTTATTTTTTCCTCAGGAGTAATGGAAAAATTGAAACTGGGCCCCTCAGATCTCATGAGGACTAATGAGAAATTAATTTATGCAAGATTAACCGGATTTGGTCAAAGTGGCCCTTATGCTGAAATGGCTGGCCATGACATAAATTATGTTAGCTTATCAGGTATGGATCTTTTTTTATTTTATTTTTTTCTAAAACAATNATCGAGGGTACCATGAAGTAGTTTGCAGTGCACAGAGTATATAATATATGGTTACAAGTTAGTGGGATGCTTTATAGACAAGAATCGTTCGAAAGAGCACACCCGTGTCCATATGGTATTCCATAGCAACTAATCCAACATTGCGAAGAAAAAAAAAAAAAAAAAAAACAATTACACATTTGATAAAATATACTTATTTTAATAGGTCTCTTGTCTCTATTTGGTCGTTACAATCAAAAGCCAACACCACCATTAAACTTGGCTGCAGATTTTGGTGGTGGAGGATTAATGTGTGCGTTTGGCATAGTCATGGCTTTGTATGAACGTAACAGGAGTCAACTGGGCCAAGTTATTGATACATCAATGGTTGAAGGAGCTGCGTATTTGGGAAGTTGGTTTTACAAATCGCTCAAAACTCCAGGACTTTGGGATCAACCCAGAGGAAAGAATTTGTAAGGATACTTATGAATTGTGTTAATTTAGAAACAAACAAAAATAAAAGCTAACAATAGCTTTTAACAAAATTATTCATGAGTGTCTAAATATACGTATTTAATTAATATAAAAAATTTCAGACTAGATACAGGCGCACATTTTTACGAGACTTATGAAACAAAAGATGGCCAGTACATGGCAGTTGGCGCGTTGGAACCGCAATTCTATGCTGTGCTTTTGGAAAAGCTTGGCTTGACCGAAGACGAATGTCCACAATTCGACGACTTTGAAAAAAATCGTGAAAAATTTGAAAGAATATTTAAAACCCAAACTCAAGCTCACTGGTGCGATGTGTTTGATGGAAGCGATGCCTGTGTCACTCCTGTTTTGACATTTGACAGCGTCTCCTCCCACAAACACAACAGATCGCTCGGTAGTTTTGGCAAAACGAAAGATAATTTAATTGCTCCAAATCCAGCCCCGCGATTAACTAGGACACCTGGAGAGTCCTGCTCTAAAAAAAGTAGTAATATAAATCCTGGTGAACACACATTCGAAATTCTCAACGAACTGAAATTCACAGCTGATGAAATAAAAAACTTTGTAGACGAGCAGGTGGTCAGACAGTTTAAAAAGTCCAAAATTTAAATTGAAAAATGAAATTTATTTGTTTAATTTGTTAAGTTTTTAATATATATATATGAACATGTTTTGGTGGGATTTTTTTATGTGAAAACGATTTTTTGTGAAAGTGCAAAAATCATATAATATAAACATTTTTGTAATAAAATTTTTTTTACTAAAGTTCATGCAAAATACTAAAATGATTAATCACAAATTTAAAATGTTACCCATCCCATCACCACTCACACGAGCGCCCCAAGGCATTGATTGGTGGGGACAGAGAAATGTGTGTGTAATCTGTAGTCATGTGTTTGTACAGTAACTTCTAAATTAAATTTATTTAAGCATTCTTATTGTACGTCATTATGTTAAATATACATCATAATTTTGTAGATAGGAAAGTATCGAGACAGTTTTAGCAGTGAAATGTAAGTTTTACGACTAATGATACAATTTAATTACTTTTAACATGTCACGCAATGTAACCTAAATGTTGTAGGACATCTGTCATTGAAATAAATAATGCCAATATCAGACCTAAATATAACAATGAGGAAAAGACCGAAAAAATTTTCGAAGCAAACCATGCTATGGCTTACAATGAATTTTTTGAAAGTTTTTTAATAGAAAATAAACCTTGTATTTTCGAGAGAGAAGCCACTGCAAATTGGCCAAGCAGACGAATTTGGAACGTTTGCAATGCGCCAAATTTCGAATTGTTAAAAAAGTGTTTTGGTAAAGACAAAAAAAAAATTTTGATACAACAATCTACAAATATTAAAAGTTGTCTGGTTTTTTTTTTTTTTAGGTGACTGCAAAGTTCCTGTAGCTAACTGTAACGAAAAATATTTCAATAGCCACCATAGGGAAGATATGTTTATTGAAAGTTATATAAATTATTGGACTGAGTACCGCAAAAGCGATTACTCAAACAAGCTGCCTTTGCTATATTTAAAAGACTGGCATTGCGTCAAGTCACACTCAAATAATGCAATTTACAATGTGCCTAAATATTTTGCTTCTGACTGGTTGAATGAATATTATACTGCTCATCAAAATTTGAATGATGACTACATGTTTATTTACATGGGACCAAAAGGATCATGGTAGGAGCAAAAATTTCAATGTAATGTAGTTTTTTACAATTTTAATTTATATTTTAGGACACCCTTTCATGTCGATGTATTTACATCGTACAGTTGGTCAGCTAATATTGTTGGAAGAAAACGCTGGTTACTATTTCCACCTGGACAAGAAAATCACTTGAGAAGCAAAAAAGGAGAATTACCTTACAATATTACATCAGAAGAGCTTAATAATGCATCTAAACATAAATCTCTAAAGTGTTACGATATTATACAAGAAAGTGGTCAAATTATTTTTGTACCTTCGGGATGGCATCATCAAGTTTGGAATCTGGTAAGTTTGGAATTTTTTTTTGTTTGAACAATTAAAAGATAGTTAAAATTTTATTTTTGCTTAAAATTAAAATTTTTAACGCTTATTTTACATGTTATTTTGACCACCGACTATTTTTAGAATAAAATTGAGTTTATGAACGTTCTAGGAAGATACTATATCTATAAATCACAATTGGTTGAATGGTTGCAACATATTGAATATTTGGAAATCTCTGAAAAAAGCGCTAAATGCTGTGATAAAAGAAATAAGAGATATCAAGAGTTTGGATGGTTGGACAATGGATTGTCAACGGGTGTTGAAGGCTGATTTCGGGATGAACTATTTTCAATTTTATGAATTTTTATCGTTCATAGCTGAAAAACGCCTAAATTCTGTGATAAATAATGTGCCTATAAAGAGCTTCAAACAGTGGAATCTGGGGAGAAAGCATTGCTTGTTTGATCTTAGACAAATTGAAATTGTCCTTGAAAATTTTATAGAAGATTCTAGTGAGAAGGAAATAAGTAGTATGCTTTGGAAGAATAATGAAGCCCAGTTATTAGAAAACAGAATAAAATCAGTGATAAATCAATATGGAACAAAATGTCAAAAATAAAGCAAATATATTTTCTTATTTAAAGTGTTTTCATATGAATTTTGTTGAAAAATATAGATTATCTTTAAAATGAAATGTAAAGAAAAAATAAATGCAATTTTTCTATAAATAATTGTAATGGTGCTATTGGTTTATTTTTTTTTTTATTTTATTTTTTTTTTTTTTTTTTTTTTTTTTTTTTTTTTTTTTTTTTTTCGTTTTTTATTTTCATAAAATTTCTTGGTTGAGCTGATCAGCGCATCCTCACGTCTAAGCTGCTGCTGCACGTCGACTGGAGCAATAAAGAGATGTGGAAATAAGAGANTGCTCATTCATAACCAAGTTTATCAAAATATTAATATAATTTATTGCTTTGAAAATCTTTTTTATCGTAACTTTTATCTGTTTATTCTATTACATAAAAGTTTTCTTGGTAAATTAAAAAATCTACGTGATATGAAAATTGAACAATGCAAAGTAAATTGTAGTCTTCAGTTTCGTTTCACGAAAAATATCAAAATGAAAAATCATAAGTATTGCGGAAAAAAATATGATTTTGGTACAATGCATATATTTCATATGTACACTTAATTTTTTTCTTATTTACATGTTATTCAATTAAAAATGTACAAAATCAGAAATTTTCACCTATAAGTTTCAATATAAATCCTCTTTTTTTTTTTTTTATACCTACAGATAAAATATTCTTAAAAAATTCAATTTTGCTTTTAAAGCAACGTTTTGACACGTGTAATCTTGATAAAATTAATACATTAAATAAGTAAAAGCTCTTATCTAAATGTAATTCTGCACTATTTACACATGCGTTACTTTGAGACTACCTAAAAGTTTTGTGCTAGTATGTATATAGAACATTCCACGTTAAACAACTGAATTAATTTTCATTTTTTGTGTTTTATATAAAAAACAATGAGCCATTGTTAGAATATCGCCATAAAGTTATTTTATTTTTGAGCTCACTAATCTTCCTAAAGAAATAAAATAATTTTATCATTAATAATTCATACCATAAATAGATTAATCTGCTTAATTTCTCTATGTCAGTTACGTTAAAAAAAATGCATTCACTCTTTAAAAATACGAGAGTAAAGAAATATAATTTCTCAACTTCTTTTAAAATATTGAGTTTAACTTATTTTGTAATGAAACTTAACGTACTTGTCCAAAAATTTTGGTTCATTATTACGAATATTCTTCAACAATTATTTATAGACGATTTTTTAATTACAACATTTTATTGTAATTTAATATCAAATGTACACAATCATTATTTGTAATAGAAAGGTATTTTTGTCGTTTTCATTCATTAATAAAACAATATAATTTTACAATAATAAAAGTCCCATGATTATTTCGAGTAGATAACGAGAATAATGATCAAAATATTTCATTTTTTATTTATCTTTGATGACTTCATTTATCAAATATCGAAAGAAAGGTTGTACCGTTAAATCGGGCATCATTAAAAATATTAAACTCTCGCAAAAACTATCGTTCCGAAAACTATCCAAAGTGATCACACTTACAATAGTTTGGAAAGTTCTTCCAGCACAATATGTTGGAGAAAAATTAATAAAAATTAAAAAAGCCTCACGAGCGCCTTCAACTGAAACTAAGTCGATCATTTACTGAAATAAACATCAATCTCATAGTCATCAAAAGCCAATTTCCGCTCGTACGTGAAACTAAAAATAGTGCCTTACATATAATAGTCCAGTGTAAATCATCGCGGGACCTTTAGGCATTTTTATTCAGAGAAGTCGTCGTCAACGGCTTGGAGCACGTCAACAAGTTCTCGTCTCAAATGGTATGCGAACTGACGATCGTCGGCGGCGTTGTTATCGTCGTGGTGACGTTGTTGGGCGTCGCAGGAGTGATGGTAGATACCACTGGATTGGTGCTGGTCGTAGGCACTGGTAAGCTAGGTGTCATCGGTAGCACCGTTGCGGTCAAAGGTGGTACTGTGGCCATAGCCGAGGCTGGCTGTTGAACTGGCGTCTGCAGAGGTACGGATTGTCTTGGAGGAGACAACAGCTCCTGACGATCACGTTCGCGCTCGCGACCTGGGCGCCAAGCTTCTAGGAGAGCTTCTACACGCTCTTCGGTTGGCCCCCAGCGTGCAAAACCTGCTGGATTTTGCATCCAGACGATGAGAGTGCCATAAATTGCCCTGATATTCACCTCACCTCTGCAATAATGATACAAATTTTCATTTGATCGATTAAAAAACAAAAAAAAAAAAACTTTTTTGATGATGAAAGACAGAAGAAAAAAGCTTACTTTGGAAGAACGTGTTGAAAGCCATGCCTGTACTCGTGCTCCATAGCTGGTACAACGACTTGTTTTCGCTTAAAGTGACTACCTTCTAGTTTAATTAGCGCATTTGGGGCTGGATCTCTCCATTCAGGCAAAAATATGACAAACGATAATGGTTCAGTTGAATCAGCAAGGAGTCTTTCAAACTGATTAACCATTGCTTCCATTAATTCTTCGCAATAAGGTGGGTTAGCCTGAAAACTTCCGCTGATTGGCCTAAAGTCCAAGAATGGACCTCTCGAGCCGAAGTACGAATCAGTATCAGCAAAGGCTGAGCAGTACTGTCGGAAGTAACAGTTAAGCGGCGACGCGAAACACTCGAAGCTCACCCCAAAGGACCGCTGAAGGCACTCAAACACCGTCACGGGAAGTGCCATCTGCGTTGATAGGCTCTCCGTGCTGCCTAAATACGTCTGATAGCGTTTAAGCATGCACCAAACACGCGGCAGAAACATCTCAAATTTGCGGTCGTCGAAACAATTATGTCTGTAAAGATGCTCGAGTTTGGCCAAGTGTGTATTGTTGATACATACTGTGTCACCGTGGAAGCGTAGCATCGTCTGTTCTCTCTCTGGCAAATATTCAATCTAAGATCAAAACAAGTTAATCAATGAAACACTCTGGTCCAAGATATTTAATGATTACAAAATAATTAAATTTACCTGTGGAAGTCTTGGGGTTGGAAGAGAGAATTGTATTGGGTAGCACCATACTTTTCTTTGCGTACTAGCTGGTCCACCTGCGGGAATGGCGTCCGCCAGATTGTTGTCTTTAAGTAACTGAGCATTCTTGTCTTTTACTTTTTTCGCGTATTCTGCCGACAAGTTGTATATTTTCAAACATATTCCCTCAACGCTAGCTTTGACAGTTTCTGTCAAATGTGGCTGACACTGTCGTTTCAGATGCGCGAGTCTATCTTGAAAATCGTCAAACGTCGCACCAACGGTTTTCCTCAACCACTGAAACGTGTCCTCTGCGTTCCATTTAACGACCTTTCTACTGTCTGGCGAGGCGTCCCTCGACTCTATCACTTTTTTTGCAGCTTCCGCGTACCGGGACAACTGTTTACGCGCGTCACCCGTGAATTTGGGCCTTATGAGTTTAATCGGTATGTCGTTCATGATTTCGCGATACATCGATTGGGATATTTCGGGGAAACATTGACTAGGGAGTAGAGGATCCGATCCACAATCGATCACTTTACGTTCCATAAGCCAACGATTGAAAGAGTCTTTTGGAGCATCGATGGATTCTCTAGTGTGGCAAAGTTCTTGATAACATTGCCTCAATTTGGCGAGCAAGCCGCATCGGAGTGCTTCAACATCCGGATGTACGTGAAAAAGCGTGGTAGGTGCTCTTTCGTAAATAATAACATTTGTAGGTATCTCTATGTCCCATGGTCCCCTACAATTGAAACAAGATACTGTTGAGTTATGAAACTTGGGAAAAAGAATGTCTTGCAAGTTATTAAACTCACGCCAAGATAAATTTTTTCTGTGGAGGTAATGCATTTCCATCTTCTGATGCTCTGCGTTTGAGTGGACCTCCCGGTGTCCCAGGAGGGACTAGTCCATTTCCAGGTACCGAAGGTACACCAATACCCAAAGGATCCGTAATAGGATCAAACTGGAGAAAAATCACAAGCAATGAAGTAACAAAGGATCCTTCACCTTGCGAGTAAGCAACAGTGAGATGGAAAACCCATTTATCATTACCTGTGGTTTTAGAGGCGGCATTACCCACAATGACTCTCCGGTCAACTTGTTCCAAAAGTATGGTCTGTTTTCTCTCTTGCTCCAAAACTTTTTCCAGCCCTGCTGCTGCAATTCAACGGGCAAATCTGGTTCTACAAAACCGGGTGGTGCAGGACCCTGCAAAGATAAAACGATTCATTAAATTTCCCAAAAACGTATATAGCCACTGTTAGAGATAATTGTAATAATGACGAATGATGACCTGGACAATGATGGGCTGTTGCACGTGTGGTATAACATTGAGATGTTCCCCGACGATGGGCGGTGAAGGGAGCACCATAGGTGGCTGCAGCTTGACGGGCGTAGGCACAATAACTTGCGTAATCGCAGCTGCGGGAATCGTCTCCTGGCTCTGATGGGGTACCGGGTTCAGATGATGCATCGTCGGCAACGTACTCACCGGTGGGTTCATCATATTGTCCCAGGCCGACGTGCTGGCGATCTCCTGTTTACCGCTACTCACTTCGTTCATGGTTGTTCCTGATCATTAATGTTCTATCTCCCAACTCTACGTGCACTGCGGCATGAAAACAAACGGGCGTGAGAATCATCATCAATGATGCACCTGCCGGCGATTCGAGCAGACGCGATCAGTTTTATGTAACGAATATGTACACATCCTCTCGGAGCACCGAGTTTCCGGCACTAAACTATGAGCAAGTGTACAGAGAGAACCGCCAGTCGAACCGAACAACCGCGCCGTCGTACAACAACACCACATCATGCGCCTAAAAAGTGCTGTGCCAGTATATTGTTGTGTTTGTAAACACACAGGTAATAGATATAAATATACGCGTACGAAGGATCAGGTAAGTAAAAAAGGTAGTAGGTATAAGCCGTCAAAATTTCTATCGGGCGCAACAACGGAGCAGTCGTGTTTATTTACGTTTATACACGCAGCGTATATAGGCAATGTAATCGCGCGTCCACTCGATAGCTGTAGATCGCAGGGTAAGCAAGATGGGTTTGCGAAAGGGTAAAAAAGAGCTGGAAAATCAGATATGCGCGCGTGCACTGCATACTCACCGGTCTTTTCGAAGTCTGGCTCGTTTCGCGGCTAAATCTTCGCTCGAGGTAGCAGCCTTCATTCATGATTAGCGTGCTGACGGGCGAACGGGCTCCACCTCCGCCATTTCCTTGCACAACTGATGCGACACCACGACGTTTCTTATACCCTTCTTTTGGAGCGACGAGCCACGAACGACGCAATCGCCACGAGATGAGCCACGGCGGCCAAAAAAGTCGGCTGCTGTGCCCCGCGCGACTCTCTCTATACTACTAGCGCCCACGATCGCGTGGCGGCACTCCCCAGAAGGTGGGACGCGCGAAATTCGAATTTCGACCCTACCGGGGATCTTTTATTGGCTTGTAGGTCGATACTCTTTCTCCTTCGTATGGACACGAAGAATCCGTATCATTGACAATCGCTCGAAATAACGATTTTTTGATCAATCAATAGTTTCTTTCTTTGTTCTTCTCCCCAACACCTTTTATCGCGCAAAGAAATTAAACTTTTGGCAAACGATGTTCTCGTTTTCATCCATTGTTTTACGCAGCGCATACAACAGCTACATACAATATATTATGCGTAATATCCAACGGTCATCGAACACTTTATAATGCAATCGTCAAAAATCTGCCCCGCGTTCCCTTTGACCGGTCGAACGAGCACGTTCCGCGTTACGTATACGCACGCGCACTTGCATACACTTTTAATAATTATTACATCAGAGTGCAACCCGCCAATCGGTGGATATTTTAATTGATCAACCGCTTGATGAATTTACGCGCGCGCAGTTGCGGCTTATCTTTTTTTTTTCCTCCGGTCTTCGATACGCGTGGGTATGAGCGCGATGCCGCGAATCGATGTCTAATTATAAAGTTACTGCAATGACTCGGCAAAAAATCAATTGGCATACTTTTTTTTTTTCGAGAAGATGAGGTTTTCCTGGGGACTTGACCACACTACGCTCGCACCTCTGGTTCTGCATCGATACTCGTGCGCAAAGTCGAGCTTTGCGCAGTTGGGAAACACGCGACTATTATTTTTTATGTACGTAGTATAGTGTGCGGGTAAACAAACATTTTACCAAAGCCTACCACATTTAAGAGTTACGCAAACGATTCGAGATAACGATAGAAAGCGGTCCCTCTCTCTCTAGTTTGTATCATCTCGTACATACCGATAACGATCAAGAATCACGAATTAAAATCGGTAACGATTCACGAGCAACGTTGTGGAAGTTTCACTCGAAAAATTGGTTCTTCCTCGTCCATCTGATAAAAAAATTACAACGACGTGATAACAGACCACGTAACAGGTGCAGCGGCAGGGGCGACAAGACGGTGGAGGAGGAGGAAGAGGAGACATGTACACGCTATGTACGAGCGTTGCTACAACAAAAGATGTGACACAAGTACATATGGTAAAAAAGAAGAGAGTCAATAATAAAGAGCTATAAGTATATACCTACGGGGAAGGCCTACATATATATATAAATGTATGTATGTATGTATGTATGGTTAGTCAATAAGCAAGTAGGTACGGACCTATGCCTATTCGTTAAGTATACTTTTTGCGCGCCATAAGTATGAATAAAGCGACGATGTGGAATCGATTATGGAAAAAGATTGCGTCGTCTTGTTTGCCCGTAAGTAAGTACGTCTCGTACGTTGGTGTGGTGTTGTTATTAAATATACATGCGCGTAAGAGCTTGACGATGCTCTTCAGGCCCAAAACGAAAGGGCAATGCAGCCGATATACATTATATGTATGCATCAGGTATTATCAGCCAAACTGACAGACGACGAACGGGAGTGTTCCACGAGACAGTGAGGGAGAGAGCAAAAGGGCCCGAACGGGCGAGTTTGCTTGTGAGAAGTCGGCCCAATGGCGATTCTCACACGGTGCCCACCAACAACCGCACTGCATTTTTTACGCGTACCTATATGTATACTTATGTACTCGGGTCTACGTATACATATACATAATATTTTATTTTGTGTGATGTACCCACCACTGCCGCCGACCATGTGTACTGCAGAGCTACGTACACATGTAGGGTTATGCATGTGTAACGTTATGATGCACAAGTGAGGCGTTAGTAGGTGCCCATTTAATGCAGGTAGATAGGTATTCTTGTATCGTATAGGTAGGTATCCAAGTTAAGTTTGCCAACAGTATAGCGTCAGGTGCGCCCGACCGGGCTCCTCCTTCCACTCAACCCCCACCCCCCCCCTAACGGAGAGACGGCTGTTAACACCCCTACACGTAGTATACGTATGGGTATTTATATACGTACTTGGAGGTAGGTATATTATCTATCCATCTATCTACCTACCAAAGCAACAAGTGGATACTACTACGTATCTATAGGTCGACTGATAGTTGTCTCTCTCGTTCTCATTGCATTACTTAGTCGACGTCACGCAAAGGGAAAATGACTTTGTGCACGGCAGGTGCCGTCGCTCGCTCCACTGACCCTTGTGATCCTATACCTATAACACGCGCGATCAAGTGCAAGCCAATGCGAGTACAGCTTGACTATAATGTACTTACTGTAGGTACGTGGGCATGTGTATGTATGCATGCGTGTGTGTGTGTGTGTGTGTGTGTGTGTGTGTGTGTGTGTGTGTGTGCGCGCGCGTTCATGGGGAAGAAGCCTCTCATATAGGCGTGGATACAAGGACTGTTGACCTACACCCGTAATGGCATACTCAACGTAAAAATAACAAACATGTGGTCAGTATGCATTATTACGAGAATACAGCTCGGTAGAGGAGGTAAAAAAAAAA